GTCAGGGGCTGAGCATGCACCCATGGGGCCCCAGTCCTCCTAAGACTGCACAGGTGGCTCACCGTGTCCCACACACTGGAGCTGCTGTTGAGGGTGGCAAGGGGAACGGGGTCCCGCTTGTTGGCCTCCCTATCCAGTTGACTGTGGTCATCATGGTCACTGTGGTTGTGGTCACTGTGGGCCTCTCCACCCACTCCCAGGCGCTTCATCAAAGCTTCCAGCTCTGTTAGGAAGGACAGAAGTAGTGCCCAGTCTATGGGCTCCAGGTGCGCCCTTCCCAGGGACATGGAGCCTGGGGGGTCTCAGCCCAGGTCTCACCCGCCAATGTCATGTTGAGAGCTTCGCTGCTGTGCTGCCGGAACACAAAGTCCACAAAGTACTGAGGGCTTGGCAGGGCATGGAAGCAGGACCCGTTCCTGAAGTGGTCCAGCAGGGCGGCCAGGACAGGGCCCGGGTTTTGAGGAGCTCCTGCCTCCGCTGCCTCCTCCAGCAGCTGAGGGACGTCTACACAGGCCTGGGGAGGGGATAGTGATAGGAGCACCAGAATTATTATAGGGTTATTGACTGTTGATTATGTTAATTGGTATTAATTAGTGGGTTGAGTGAATGAGTCTATGACTGTAAGTAACGTGCCCATGATGCACTGTGAACTGCAACACTTAGAGACAGACTTCAGTTAGTGATGTAAGCGTCTACACCCAGTCATCTGCCACAAGCACAACTGAACTAGGACTTAAAAACCCAGACTTCTATGGGGCGACGGGACCAACAGGACCTGGACAAAGAGACCGGGGCCTCCGTTGCTGTTTTCCCCCCTGCACCAGACTCCTCTGGCTTGGATGAGTTCCAGCGACCCAGACTTAAGACATGTCACAGGTGAGCACCTGGGACCCTTGGCGTTGACTCAGTTAGGACTTAGAATTAGGATGTCTAAAGTGTGGTGAGCATTAATAAAACAGATTTGGTTGGATCTAACTGTGCCTCAGACTGAGTCTGTAGTAACCACTTACGACGGATGGGCCCCAGCCCCACCCTCAATGAACTTCTGGCTCCAGCTCTGCCTTCACCTGTTGGATATGTCTCCCACTGATTCACAGGTCTGCACCCACCAGCCTGATGCACTTCCTGGATTCGGAACCACTTCTTCCTTCTCACCTACGACCTGGCTAGCCTCAGTTCTTCTGGGGCCACAGCCCAGCCCTGCCCTGGCCCAGCTAGTCCAGGCCCCCAGTCTGCTCTCTGGCCTTCTTGGGGCGCCAGAGCCTTCCTGGTCTGCCGTCACTGGGGAACCCCACACCCTACTCCGTCTTCACTGGGACTCCTGGCTCTGGCAGTCCCTGACCCAGTCAGTGTAAACCCCTATGAGATCCCCCAGGGCCACTCTACCTCCCAAGGTGGCCCCAGAGCCTGGAGGGCATTGTGTGGGTGTTTCCCCTGCTTTAGTCAGGACTGACCCCCTAATGGCCCCTTCCTGTGTTCTGGCCACTGTACCCTACTTCCTGACCAGCCCTCATGGGCCCTCACCTCTTCCCCAGCAGGCTGGCCAGCAGACTGGGCCTTGATCTTCTGCAGCAGCTGACTTAGGCCCCGGGTCAGGGCCTCAGAACTCTCCAGTAGGACCAGGAAGTGGTCGGCATGGGAGGCCCAGCGGCCAGCCTGGATGTCTGCACATGTGCTCTCTGGATTGCTAAGATAGAGAGCTGCAGCGGCACTGAGGCGGGCTATGTACCTGGACTCTAGGACTGGTCCTGGAGCCAGCCCTGGCTTGTCAGGCCTACCCAGGGCCAAGATAGCCTCCACAGACAGGCACTGTGGGCAGAAACAGGTGGACAGGAGCTGGACTGGGCCCATCAGAGAGGGCAGAGGCAGGCCCTGGCAAGGACGGGCCCTAGGCCCTCTCTCACACCCTACCCTGCTCGTGCCCCTCACTTGGCTAGCACACACAAAGTCCCCACCAGTCAGACCCCCATCTCTGGGCTGTTTCTTCCTGAAGCCACTGCCAACTTCGCAGCCTGGGGAAAGGAGCGGAACTCTGTGTGTGGGGTGGGGGGCAGGCCTGTCAGCCCCCAGCAGGGGAGGAAAGGCTGTGGCCTGTGGTAGGCCTGGCTCTGGCCTTGGCCCTGGCCCGCCTCCTGGAGTTTGCCCAGCTCCCTTTGCTGCAGGCTGCAGGGTGGAGCAGGCAGGAAGCACCGGGGCTGGGGGACCCATCGGGTGGGGCTGTTACCTTTCCACACGGCCCGCTGGTACAGTGCACACGGTCCACCAGCGTATTTAATAGGCTGCTCAGCTCCTCTCCATCCAGAGTGCCCTGGCCTGAGGTGAGCAGGCTCAGCAGACTGGCAGGCTGGGCCACCACCGCTGTTACCACCGTCACGGCCAACAGCAGCCCTGGTGTGAGCTGGGCTAGGAACACCATGCTTGGTCCCCAGAGTGCTCGGAGCTGTGTGGAGTCTGTGTGTCTGAGCCAGTTGTGGGCTGCTGGGACCAGACTAGGGTTGGGCTCTCCAGGTCTGGCCCCAGCCCCAGGACCTCTCCCAGGTATTTCCTATAGGGCTCTGTGATTGGTTGCTGGAGGTGTCTGGGTTAACCATTCCAGTGACAGGTCCTCCCTGATAGCAAGGATCTGAGCTGCTGCCTGCTGGGGAATAAGGACTGGGCTCCTTCCCCTCGGTGATGGCCTGGGCATCCCTTCCCTGCCTGCCTAACCCAGAGTAGTGGTGCAGGCCACCCCCTCTGCTCTCCCAAGGGCTCCAAGCACCCCCTCCTGGGACTCTCTCTGGAGGTCACCCTCAAGTTCATGCTGCTGGAACAGAGCAGCATGAATGGCACGTTGGCACCTCAGAATCCTCCCGCCAACACCTGCCTTGGTGCCTTCCCAGCTGTCTCCCCAAAGCCTGTGGCCCAAGTTGGGGATGGGGCTGTGGTCTCTGGGCCAGGGATGGGCTGCTGTGTAAGGAACCACAAAGGTGCTTGCTGAGTCAGGTACCGCACCCCAAGCCCTTCAGGGAAAATCCCCAGGAAACGGCCAAAGCTCCAACAGTAAGGGAGGACACGACCTTCGCCCTGGCCCCACCTGCAGGGCTCTTGGGGTCAGGGTGTAACAGTGCTTCACTTTATGCTTTGAATGTGGCCTCCCTGCTCAAATGGACCTGCTTCATTCTCTTGCTCTCTCCCTGCTCCTCTCTGATCTCTCCCCTCCGTAACCTCAGGGGAAACAGGATGAACTTTCTTCCCCATTTTAGGCATTTATCATTCCTTGAATACACATCTATCACAGGAACAAAGTCATCCAGACTTTGGGGATGGCACCAGATTTCAGGACGGGAGTCCCCTGTGTTTCTCAAAACCATGTCCTTCTTATTGGATTGCCATCATCGGGGACAAGGACCGAGAGATGAGCAATAAGGGCAGGAGGTCTGGGAAGTGCCCAAGCTCTGGGCCTGGGGAGGGTTGGGGGAGGCTGTGGCTCCCAGTGTGCTCCCCCTGGCTGCTCTCTCTCCAGCCTTTGACCCCTGGGCCTTATCTCTACCTCTGTGCAGTGTGGGGGAAAGGTTGAACCCCAGGGATCCTGGACATCCCCAGGCCTAGGGCAGCCCTGCCTCTGGGCTCCTCCCACTGAATTCAGCCAACCCCTGACACGCGAGCTCTGCAGGGTGGGGCTGGGCTGTTGAGCTGGGAGACTGAAGCCAAGGACTCTGTTCCCTAGCCCTGTGGGGCAGGGCAGGGCAGGGCCGGGCCTGATGAGCTTGGGCTGGATGTCCTGGGCCCTGGGGTCAGGTGCCTCTCCTGCCTGTCCCTAAGTGGGAGTTAGGGCAGGGCCTGGGAGAGGCTGCCTGGGACAAGAAAGAGGGCAGCCCCACACATCTCCTTCTACTTCCTTCTACCACTGGGCTGGTTAGAGGCTAGGACCAGGCTGGCTTGAAACTGCCTCTGGCCACACAATGCGCGAGTTGTCGGCTTCTGGGCAAAGATCTGGGCTGGGTCTGATGTTCAGGCCTTCCCTAACCTCTGCACCCCAGGGGCCAAAACTGTCTGAGCCCTCGAAGGTCAGTGCAAGGCTGGCCTCTGCCCAAAGGGCCTCGGTGCCTTTTCCTGTGCCCTCCCACTTCCCCAATGGCCTCTTGTCTAGTCTGAGAGCTACCACTGAGAGCATTCTCAGATGGCTTCCCTCCCCAGTCAGGCCAGTCCTCTGGGTACTTGTGAGGATGGCCTTAGGCCCGAGCCTAAGCAACTCACCAGTACCCAGGCTCACCAGGCACACCCACAGAGCCCTCCAGTGTGGCCTCAGACAAGTCACTTCCCCTGACCCTGATCAACAGAGTGAAGCCCCTGGCAGGCTGTCCTCGCCTGATAAGAGGGAAGGGCGAGAAGATGGGGGGGGGGGAGACACCAGACCAGATGTTTCTGACCCCAGGGTAAATGACGTCACTGAGAAATCCAGTGGTAGCTGATAAGGATTGAAAGGGGGGTCAAAAGCCCCCAAATGTAGTAAAAATAATAGAGCAAATGAACAGGGATTCAGCCACCCGAAACAAGGATGCACTCGAGCTGGAGAGCCTGACGAGGACCTGACGTCCCGTCACTTGTCATCCTTCCTGAGCCTCTGCGTGATCCTCACCACTCTCAGAGTCTACCGCCTTGTCTGGACCTTGGTGAGAGCTGCAACTCCTCCCTAAGACCCCCTCCTCAACCGGTCGTCCACTCCACGCCAGGAAAAGCCTGCTTGGTTCTGGACCTGGTCACCACAGTCTGAGTGGTGGGCATCTGCTGGACATAAAGCCTAAGACTTAGGACTTTTGAACTTATCCTGCAGAGGGGATGTCTGTCATTAGCCTGTCATGATTAAGAGTGCTTGCAGTGCTTAGACTTAATCTAGAATTGTTTGCTGTGGATTGATTATGTCTATTGCAGTGCCCAGCATCAAGGATTGTCATTTTCTTGATTAAGAACCTACAGAGTGAAACTGTATGGAGTGATTTGAGTGAATAAAGCACTGAAAGGAGCAGAAGCACATGGACATTTTTATTTCTCCCCTCGACTGCATACGTCGCAATTTTGCCCTCTTGCGACAATACTGTACCATCTCCTGCATCCCAGATCCTCTGCGTCATTCCATCATCCAGTAAGCTCAATGTAATTGCACCCATCATAAAAACAAAACACTAGGTGGAGGAAGTAACCCAGCAGCAGAAGGCTGGCTTAGTGTGTGTGAGGCCCTGGCTTCAATCCACAGTATAGTAAAAAAACAAAAACCATAAGCCTGTCACAGCTGCATTACGCAAAACAGCCAGGAGGTGGAGCCACCCAGTGCCCACAGAGGGGTGAGTGACAAGCCATAGTGTGTGTAGGTGTAGGCATGCTGGAGCAGCATTCTGCCTTTGAGAAGGGCGGAAATCCCATCACATGGTACAACATAGGTGCACTAGAGGACACTGCTGAGTGAAATACATTCTTAAAAGGACAAACAGTGGATTCCACTTACACAATGGGGCTGGAGTGCTCAAATACAGACAGGAAGCAGAAGGGTGCTAGGGCTCAGGGCTGGTGCTTCCTGGGTGCTGAGGTTCACCTTGGGAAGATGGGGAGTTCAGGCAGTGAAGATGGCTCACTGCAGCAAAATTGCCTGAAGTCACTGAACTGTGCACTCCAAATGGATACAGTGGCAAATTTACATTTTATTACAATAAGAGAAGAGAGATCAAAGCAACATACCTTCGCCATCAGCCCCTCTGAACTCCTGCAGGCCTTACATGCTGTAGCATCAAAAGGCTGTTTCTGCCAGGTGTGGTGGCACGTGCCTGTAATCTCAGTGGCCTGGGAGGCTGAGGCAGGAGGATGGTGAGTTCAAAGCCAGCCTCAGCAAAAGTGAGGCGCTAAGCAACTCAATGAGACCTTATCTCTAAATAAAATACAAAAATAGGGCTGGGGATGTGGCTTAGGAGTCGAGTGCCCTTGGGTTCAATCCCTGGTACCCCTTCCACACACACAAAAAGGCTATTCCCCAGCCACCAAGGCTGTTGTACCAGCACCCTGCTCTGCCGTACCCTGGCGCCATGTGCTGCAATGTTTAGCATGCCTCTCTTGGCCTTGTGGCTTACTGCTTTCCCGGGGTGCCTTTTTCATACCAGGGATTGAACCCAGGTGTGCTCTACCCTGAGATGCATTCCCATTCCTTTTTATTCTGAGACAGGGTCATATAAGTTGCTCAGGCTAGTCTCAAACTTGTGACCCTCCTGCCTCAGCCTTCCTAGTAGTTGAGTACGGTGGCCTAGTATGGTGGTACAAGCCTGTGCCACCATACCTGGCCAGGACAGTGATCTCTGAGTCAGGTTCACAACAAATGCCAAAATGGACTGCTAGGGCAGCTGGCAGCCTTGTTATGGTTGGTAGTTTTTCATGAAGCCCCAGGCTGCCTGGAGCACTCAGGTGCTGAGTGGGGAGGCTGGCATGTCAGGCGCAGTGGAGATTCCCCCAGCCCTCCTACGTGCCCAGGCAAGGCCCACTGGGGAGGACAATGCCCCTGCAGAAACAGATTGTGTGCAGAGTGGAAGTGACAGGGCCAAGCTCCCATGCTGATTTGGGGAGCAGTGGCTGCAGGATCCTACCAGAAGGTCAGCAGGGTAGACAGATCAGGCAGGGCAGGCCCAGGATAGCTACCCACCGTAGGCAGAACAATAGCATCTTTATTGGGGGTGAGTCTTGACAACACAGACACAGACAGCTGCTCTGGACATCAAGTCTCACAAAGCTGTCCAGGGTGGGTGTGGCCAGAGGAAGTGGGCAATGGTCCCCTAGGTAGCCATCCCCCATCCCCCATGGGCCACTCTGAGGCTCAGGCGTGCAGGAAGCGGTTAAAGGCGTTGTAGGCGGACTCCAGATCGAAGAGCATTTGCCGTACCTGGGAGTCATCCAGCTCATCAGATGCTGACATGCCGCTCAAGGTCTGTAGCCTGGAAGCAGAGTGAGTGGGGGTGTGGGCAGCAAGGCCATGAGGGCCCCTCGGTGAGGGCCTACATAGGAGAGGCACTCACCATTGGCTGACTGTTTGGCGGCCCTCGAAGTCTGGGGGCAAGTGGCTCATGCGGTGCATGGTCTCCATCAGCTCCCGCAGGTCAGGCTGGATCTGCAGACACAGGTGAGGGGCTGGGACTCTGGCCCTGCCTGCTCACCCACCCAGTCCCCATTCCGTCTGACTCCTTTACCTCGTCCATGGCGCGGATTTCTAGGCGCAGTTTGTCCATTACTGTGATGAAGAGCTGGGGGGGCGTGTACGAGGTTTCACAGACCAGCTTGGTGTAGGGAGGCCCCTGGCAGGTTCCCCTGCAGGGCCAGGCCCAAGGCCTAGCCTGCCTGCTGCTCCCACCTCAGGTTCTTCACCACACCTGATCCCGAAGCCCTGGGGCTCCTTCCTGTCTGGGGCATTATGTGCAGGACCCTCCTGGGGGTGTCTCCTGGCTGCAAGGAGAGCTATGTGGAAACTATGGGTACACCTACATACAACTTTCCCAGGCCAGGATCTTGCCAGAGTGGACCCTGTGCCTGTCTCATAGGTGCCTATGGGCAGCCAGGTGGGCTTTGGGATGCTGCTCAGCTGAGGCCCTGGGACTCTATACCAGTGATGGGCTGCAGCAAGTCCTCCCGCCCTCCCAGGAGACTGGGCTTACTGAGACAACATCAGCAATACAGCGGTTGAGGTTGCCCTTGTCATCCTTGATGGTGATGGGCCTGTCTTCCTTAACCCTCTCCATGGCGAGTGGGCAGTCCAGCTGAAGGGAGCAGATGCAGGTGCTCAGTCTTGCAAAAGGGCAGGCCCTATGCAGGCCATGGCCTCTTCTCAGGGGCACCCCACCGCACCCTTCCTGTGGTGTGGAGAGAGTGGCTCACTCACGCGGAACTTGCGGCAGAATTCATCAATGGAACTGATTTCTGAGCCTTGAACCTGCCGGAAGGCAGCTTTGTACTGGACCAGGAGCCGAGAGCAGGCTGCAGTGTACCTAGTGAAAGGGCCAGCTGCTACCCGTGCCTGAAACCAGCCCCCGCTCATCCTGCTTTCCCCAGCCTGTTCAGACACAGTGGCTCTCATGGAAGGCCAGGTGATGGAGTCAGAGACTGGACACTGAGGGCTGAGGCTTGCCATCAAGTCTGTACAAGACAAGAATTCTGGGGGAGAGCAGAGGCCAAAATACAATGGCCACAGGGGATAAGACTCACATTGGCACAGGTTCACATTGTCCTGAGGGGCCAATGGCTTGCTGGGCTTATTACCTCACTGAATGAAACCCCCACATCTAAGTAGCACTGCCTCCTACTAGACATCCCCAACCTCCCTCCTGGCCTCCAAGGACTTTCCATGAATCTGGTCACCCATGCCTGGCAGACAGGGCCAGGAGCACACATATTTGCATGTCTGTCCTTCACTAGATATCTTTCCACCCATGCAAGGTTTCCCTGGTTGAAATAGCACTGAGGCCACCTAGCACCCAGGAGCATTACCATGGTGCCGGGAGCCCTACAGAAGTGAGTGCCCCAGTAGAAGCCCCAGACCACTATTTCTGCTGCCTACTGAGCCCCTCTGCCTTGCAGAGCGTAGAAATTGGCTCCCAAGGTAGGGTACCCTTTGGACATTGAAGGGTAGTGGGCTTGCTCACTCGTTGGGGGTGACGCAGTCCTTGATGTATGCTTTTTCCAGTGCCTGCATTGTCTTCACTACTGCAAACAGCTCTGCCATGTTGTCATACCTGAGACAATCTGACCATCAGGCATGGCCCTGAAGCAGGGAAACCTCCCACAATGGGACGCAGCTATGGTGGAACTGTCAGCCCACCTCTCAGCCCATCCCTGGCAGATGTTCCTTGGAAAATGTCCCCCAAACCTGACCCCATGTTGTCTTCCCCAACCATGTGACCCATGTTGTCTTCCCCAACTACCAATGTGGTGGTGGGTTTGGGAGTGGCTACTCCCAGAAGGCTTGGATGGGCACAGGTGCATGCTGGGGGCAGCCTGGATGCTTGACTTACTTCTCCCTCTCCCGGGCATTCTTGTACAACTTCACTTCCTGTTGGAGAGAGTACGTAACATGTCAGCCAGTTGCATCTGGTGGCCCCAGGGGCCAGTGGGGGTCCACACAGCTGTTTGCTGTGGTCCAACACTGGCCAGGTGGGCACCTGACACTCACCTCATACAGCTCTGGCTTGTTTCCAGGGGCTGCAACAGAGTAGGCAGAGAGCTATTAGGCTGGCCACAAAGTGACCCCAGGGCAGTTTCTGATCCCAGCCCCATTCAGTTTCCTCCCTCAGGCCTCTCCTGAGCTCTATCCCAAAGAACTTAGATGGAGCTGAAGGACGGGGGTTCCATTTTCACTCCCAGTCAGTGGGCAGGATACTGGTTTTGAATGGCTGTGGCAGGCCTAGCTGCACAACAGGGAGAACCCCACTTTGTTTACAATGCCACAGTGTGGTGCAAATAAGGCTTGTCACACACCTTACAACTTGGGCTCAATGCAGGAATCCCCAGGATGCCGATGCTCTGTGCACACTGAAGCTCATCATCTCTGTGCTGAACAAGGCCAGGCTAGCTCTACCTGGAGGTCTTGGGGCTCTTACTGTTTATCTCTGGCCACCTCCAAGGCAGTATGAAGGTGGGGGGAGGTCGGTGACTTAATGACTCCCTCCCCTAACACATTCCCATCAGTCCCACCACAGCATAAGCCTGGGCCCTTCCTGTTCTGCTTGGTGCAGGCATACTCACCTCCCATGCCGGGAGTGGCTGGGATCCCATGAAACATCCTGCAGGCTCTGTCAGCCACAAGTGAGACCTGGGGAGTACATTCAGCACCAATTCAAGAGGACCCTGACACCCTGAGTCAGGCCCTGGTATCCATCTTCCCCACTGGCCCTCCACAACTATCAAAACACAGAGCCCAAGTGGTGTCAGAAGCGAGAGAGGCTGCAGGCACTGAGAGTGATGTGCAGGACAGAAGATGGAACCCTCATCCTTCTGAGACAGGAGGAAGTGACAGTTGTTGGAACACAGCATTTGAGGCTGAGGAAAGCAACCCAGCACCACCCTTCAGAGAGGGGCTGGGCTTTCTGAGCCCAGAATGTTCTAGGATAAAAGCAAGGAGAGAGGGTTTTATCGTAGTATGGTAGGAACTGGAGTGCTAAAGGCAAGCTCGTCGTGGGAAGGCTCCCTGCCAGGCAGGGCCCTTTTGGAAACACGACCCCTGCAACGGTCTTGCCTACTAAGGAAGTTGGGGGGATGGCTAAGGCGTGAAACCACAGTCGCAACGAAGAATTTGAGACAGGGTGGAAATAAAAAAGGAGTTAAAAGTGAGACGCCCGTTTCTGGCCTAGTGGCATCAGGACGGCAGGGGCCTGGTGGGCAGGCGCGGGCGGCGTCGTAGGGAGTCGCCAGCCTGGCGCGCGGTCCCCAAAGCAGCACCACAGCTCGCCGGCGGGACGGAACCCCGTGCTCCGGCTCCCTCCGAGCTCCCAGGACACAGCGCGGGGGAGCCCGCGGAGTCCGAGCACCTGGGAGGGCGCGAACGGGGGACGTCCGAGGGGTCGGGTCGAGGGGCCGCCCGCCGCCCAGGCCTGTCCCGCCCCGCCGCGAGTACCTGGGCGCTCTCGGCCGCTCCCGGAGATGGCGCCGGGGCGGAGCGCTCCCGGCAGGCCACTCGGCGCTCGCCCGCGCCCACTGGAAAGGGCGCGATCGGCAGCTCGGCGCTCGGCGCTCGCGCCTGCGCTCTGCGCGGGGCTAGCCTTGGCCACGCCCCCGCGGGCCGGTTTCCGCCAGGGACCTCTTAGAGGAATGGGCTGCGGCAAAGTGAATCCCGCCTTACACCACCCACCCTCCTCCCAGGAAGCCACTCCAAGAAGGCAGCAAAGACGTTTATTGAGGCTTCTGGGCAGGGGACGGGCAGGGTCACAAGTCCCGGAAGAAGAGCTGGGGGCCCCGGGTCAGAGTGCATGAGCTGGGACTCTGCAGCCGCTGGCGCAGGGCATCGTGGTCCTCGGCACACAGGCCTCTGCTACATAGTTGGAGCTCCCGCAGCTGCATGGTGATTTTGTCCCAGAGACCCGGGCCCAGGGGACCCTGGACAGTGCAGCCTGGAGGGCAAAGAAGTCCTGCTTCGTCGCGGGAAGGAGCCGTGCCTGGCCCATGGTCAGGCAGATGGGCCCACTGGTGGACGTGGACGCCATCCCCACCCCCACCCTGACTGCACAGCATGCCTACACTTTGGCCCACCCACCCATAGAATGAATTTTTAGGAGAGCTCTATGTCGTGGGCCTGAGGGCTCAGAGCTTGGTCCTCTGGCCAGAAAGCCCAGTAGCCTCAGAACCTGGGGAAGCTGCGTGATGTCGCAGGTGCCAGGAATCCAGCCAGGTGTGGAAGCAGGAAGTGAAAAGCCCAGGAAGAACTCAGGGGTTCCCTTGTGCACAAGCCTATGTCCCCTGAAGGGCAAAGCCTGCCTTTCTGCCCAGGCCTCAGCTAGGGATGCCAGGCTGCTGGTGGGCCAGTTCACCAAATGCCCCTCTTTTGGAGTTGTCCTTCAGACAACACAGGTGGGGGCTGCCCTGGTGTTGCAGAATAAGCTACATTGTCACAGCCAGGACAGAGAGGGTCAAAGCAACCCCTGCCAGAAGGTGGGCGGGTCCCATTGTGGCACTGAACCTGGACCCTGGGTTTCCTCTTCCTGCCATCAAGAATGAGGAGATCCCTGTGGATGAGGAGCCTTTCTGTTATTGTCTACACTTGAGGGTTAGGCTGGATTGGGCAGAGGCGAAGACCCCAGGCTCCCCTGTCCCTTTCTTGTCATGCTCCACACTGTCTTTCATCATACTGGCTTCTTAAGAGAAGTTCCCTGAGCCTCAGCCTGTGAAAGCGTGGCAGAGGTGGCCACCATACTCAGCCCTCACCTGAAAGGCCAAGGAAGTGGAGGCCTTGGGGCCTCTGCTGGAGGGCAGACAGGAGCTCCTGCAGGCTGGCACAGCTGATTTCAGGGTTGGCAGACAGGTCCAGAGAGATGAGTGAGCGGCAGAGAGGCAGGCACCTGAGACAGTGTGGGAAGTTCAGGGATTAGCTTCCACAGAAGCCCTCACTCGATCTCTAGGGAAAGTTGCCCTACAAACCCTAGCTTTGGGAGCCATAGGCCAGGCCCAGCAGGCTGTGGCCCAACACAGCATAGGGAAGGTTGGCAGCACTACCTAGAGGTCGAGACTGCCAAACTCGAACACCTCTTGTCGCTCCCCTTAGAGCCAGCCAAGTCTCCAGGGACATGGACTGATGCACAGAGGCGTGCCAAGAAAGGCCATATAAGAAGGAAAGCTCTCAAGAGTCACAAGAGTATGGTAAAAAAAAAAAAAAAAAAAAAAAAAAAACCTTTAGCATGCTTGCCAGGCCAGCCCTAAAGACAGGGTGAATGTCAGAGGAACAGGGTCCCAGGTCTTCAGGCTGAGACCCCCCAACAGGCAACAGGGCAGGGGCATCACCTGCTTAGTTCTCTCACAGCTTTGTCATTCAGGTAATTTGCAGACAGGGTCAGGTGGACCAGAGCACAGTCTTCCTGGACGTAAGCACAGGGAGGGAGCCAAGCCCAGTGGGCACTGGTCCTCCCTCCCTCCTGGCAGAGGTCCCCACACCCAGGAAGCCCCTGAACTTGGAAGTGAGAAGAAAATTCTTCTCCTTCCTGGTGTAAGTCATGCTTGGCTCCTTGTGATGTGAAAACCACAAGGACTCAGCCCCAGCTGGAAAAGTCCCTGGGAGAAAACACAGGGGCTTGGTGTGTTCCTCGGGAACTGTTTGGGGTAGAGAGGCCATCCCAAATCCCAGATGTCCTTTTTGGTGGCCAGGAATTCATAGCCTGAGGCAGGTGTCTGTACAGGTGTCCTGCAGCTGTTGTCCCAAATCAATCCCTCCAACCTCCCAAAGGTCACAGTTATGGGAACCTTTGGTTTCTGAAGCCTCATGTTCTGGCTTTTGCCCACCTCATACCTTGGCCAGGTACCTGACAATGGGCTCCATGAAGCCCAAGTCACTCTTGCTGGTTGCCACGGAGCCAAGTTCTAGATGCAAAAGAGTACAGGTGGGCAGGCTTTGCAGGGCCTTGGTCAGGGCAATGGCACCCAGGGCATTGTAGGATAAGGACAGGGTCTTCAAGCGCTCAGCATCTGTACCAGGACCAGAATTTGTAGGCCTCATGTGGCCACCATCCTACCCACCCTCCACCCTGAGTTCTGGGCCCAGAACACTTATGACCCCTTTTGGAGAGGCTCTTCTCCATTAATTTTGTGGGGGAAACAGGTTTCTTGGCAACGGCTCTTGCCCAAGTTCTCTTGAGCCCAGCCTTCCCCACCCACCAATCCCTGGCTGCTGGAGATGGGCCCTGGGCCAGCATATCTGTGGGGGGATCAGGAGGAACTCACACCACTGTTGCCCAACATAGCCCCTGCCCCAGGGATCCCTAGGTGGCTCTATTCCCAGCCTCTTGGCACTAGGGCTGCCAGTTATGCTCATGGCAGAACTGAGGCACGCAGAAGGCTCTAGCCATAGGCATGTGGTGGGGTTCAGGGCAGAGATGGCCTGCCTGGGATCCTGCCTATAGTGTGCTGTGGTCTGGGAGCACAGCCCAGACAGGTCCAGCACTCACACGTCTACCTGTGCGTTCAGAGGAGTTAGCTCCTCCTGAAGAAGCCAGGCTTGAAATCCCAAGCAAATCCCATCTTGGTCCTTATGCCCAAGACCCTTAATGCCTCCACACCTGGCTCAGGGATTAGACCTGCCTGGTCAGCTCACCTTGGAAGGCACTGCCCAGGGCTGCCTGGTGGCTCAGGAAGAGGCTGGGACCAAAGCCACAAGCCTTCAGGCGCAGAGTGCTGAGTAAGGGGCAGGCCCGCAGGAGGGAAGCCAGGGCCTGACCACAACTGTCTCCTAGAGGGTTCATGCTTAAGTCCAGCTCCTCCAAGTTCTGTGGAAAACATGGTGAGCACTGAGCCCCTTGACATCCATGGGCCCAGTCCCCTCAGGTCTAGTCTCCTGGCAGGATCCCTGTTCCCGGCTGGGCATGGGCCAGTTCTCCCAGCTGTTGCAACCTGTTACTAGAGTTGCTGGCCTGCTGCACCCTAGGCTCTACCTGCAAGGTGGCCTGGCCTTGAGGGCCCCCGGCCAGTTGGCGTAGACTTTCCTGGCCCAGGTGATTAGACGAAAGATCAAGGAGGACCAGGCTGGGCATGGTGCTCAGAGCAGCCAGCAGCTCACTGGCACATCCATCCCCGAGCCGATTCCCTGCCAGGTGAAGCTCCCGGAGCGTTGTGTGTAGCTTGAGGGCTCGAAGCAGGGGTGTGAGCTGGGCCTGGCTCAGGGCCAGGGAGCAGGCACTGAAGGAGGGGCTTGAGCCCTGGTGCTCCATGGCCTGCAGCACCTGTTGGTGTTCCCCTGATGAGGGAGACATGGGGTTACTAGGGCCAGTGCCTACATCTTGCCTTTGGAGTTCTGTGGACAAACCCGGCAGCCCCAGGAGTTAAAGCTGAGTCTATTCCTACAAGCCTGGGATTCAGTGCCATGAGTATCTGCATAGGTGGGCCACTCTCACATCTCCATCCCCCAACAAGCTTCCTGGCAGCTCCGTTCCTCAGCTCAGGGTTGTCTGCCCCCACCTGTCACCCACACGTGGGGGCAAGGGTTAGGCAGGGAAGGGTGCACCACAGAACTGGAAATGGCAACTGGAAGATGGGGCCTGCATACCAAACACCTCTGCTCAGGGCTTCACCTAAAGCCAGGCTCTTGGAGCCCTTACCTTGTCCCAGGCTCTGGCAGGCCCTGCGGTAGCGGTCGATAAGTGGGGGCAGGTCCCACGAAGTCACTTCAGCCAACACCTGAAGAGCACCGTTGGTGAGCTCCGTTGGTGAGCAGCCTGGAGAGGCAGCTCCTGGGGGTGGTCTGTGCCCATGGCTGTGGCTTACCTCATCGTTGCTCTGCAGCACATCAGGGATGGAGTCCTGCGGGGCCAGCAACGCGCCCTCCTTCCGCAGGCTGAGTCTGGGCAGTAGCCCACAGGTCTGGTAGTAGCGCTGGGAGGCCTGCTCAGCCAGCCAAGCCACAGAGTGGACCTCACTGTTGGGGGAGGGTGGGCTGCTGCATCCAGGAGGTGGCCTAGGGTTCTGCTGGGGCCTGCAGCCCTCTCTCCTGGTGGCTTTCCCGTCCCCTCCCCTGAACAGCAGCCTTCTGTCCCTGCAGCCTACTCCTCAGACGACTCCCAGGGACTATAGGACTGCCCAGGCCACATTCACTCAGGGACCCTAGGGAACAGTAGGGACAGGCCACCGAGGCAGTCATCACACATCCCACCCTGACATGTACACAAAGGAACTGTGTACGGTGCCACCACTGAGGGTTCAGGCAAGGGGCTGCATGGTGGGCAGGGGGGACTGGGGTTCAGAGAGGGCAGATGTCACCATACCTGTGTGGGACAGGGACAAGGAAAAGGTTATCCTGAACTTGAACTCGAATCCGGATGGGAGGAGGCTGTACTAGACCCTGATAGGAGGAACAGGGCACAGGGCAGTCAGGAAAGACAGAGGCCTCCATCTCCACCTGCCCAAGCTGGGGGTTAGCTCTGCTACCAGCTTGTCACCCACCGAGGGCTGGCCTGTTGCAGGGCTTTCCCCAGGGAGCCTGAGCACGTTGGGACTCTCTGAGAGCTCTGCAGCCAAGCTGCTGCCTCCAGCTCTGTCCAGTGTGCTGCAACTCTCAAGACAGGTCAGGCGGCTCTGCCTGGTCCGGGTTCGGGGCCTGGCAGGGTGTTCCTCATCGTCTGGCCCTACAGTACTGGGCCTGTTGCTGTCCCCACTGCCCTGGGGGCGGGGCAGGCGGAATGGGCGGCTGCGGGGCAGGGGTGTGTCCAATTCTAGCCAGTCTCCAGCCAGGTATTCCTCCTCCGGAATGAGTGCTGTCTGGGGTGTAGGGGCTTCACCTGGGCCCCAAGGGCCCTGCCTGAGGCAGCGGCTCTGGGCACTGCCCACACCTCGGATGGCTGCCTGATAGGCTGCCTGGCCAGCACTCACTGTACTCGCCTCCCTGATGCTGGCAGGGCAAGCTGTCCTGGCCTCATCCCGTTGTGCTGGGGCAAAGCACCTTGGCCTCTTCTGGGATGGCATTTGGGGCCCAGCACTGTCCTCACCCTCTGAGCTGCTGCTGCTGGCCAACCTATGCCTGCTCCTTCGAGGCCTTGCCACAACTGATGCAGCCTGCTGTGGGGAAACCCTGGTGCAGGCTAGAGAGGCCTCTGAGGACCGAGGAGTGTGCCAAGGGGGTTCTGGGCAGGGGCTTGAGGGAGGAGAGGTCTCAGGATCAAACAGGTGGTTACTTGGGACGGTCCAGGAGGCTGGGGAGGCTGTAGGAGGGAGAATGCATCATGAGACAGTTACCAGACTCTCTCTCTGCCCCCTATGCTGGAGTGTTAGTCAGGGCCCAGAGCCCAAGGCAATTCCGCAGGTGAAGAAGGCCCCACTTGCCTGAGCCTGAAGAAGCCGCCCGGAGCCTCCTCTCCATGACTGCTGCCTTCTGTCGCGTCTCAAGGTCTAGGTCCCTGCAGTACAACTTCACCCACTGCTGCAGTGTCTCCAGTGGGCTATGGCCCTGTGTAGCACCCAGCTGAGCAGGGAGCAGAGCAGCTCCCACCCACCCTCTCACCCACCACCACGACTCCAGCTCACCTTCCTGGTTCGGAGGGTGACAGATGCCCCTCGCTCAATAAGCAGCTCAGCCACCTCAAAGTGGCCACAGGTAAGGGCGTCATGTAGAGGGGTAATGCCCTCACACCCCTGGCCACCTGGATCATCCACTGCAGCCCCGTGGTCCAGCAGGAAGCGGACGATCTCTGCAGGTAGGGACACAAGCCCAGCTCCCAATGTCTGCTCAGCCCCTCCCCGCTCTCTCAACCCCGTGTTGTGCACCAGGACTTGCCCATCCCCTGCTCACCCAGGTGTCCAAAGTTGCAGGCTTCATGTAGAGGTGTCCAGCCACAGTAGTCCCGAGGATTCAGGGGGTGGCCCTGTGACCAAGGACAGGAAGGAGCCTGGCCCTGTGTGCTTTGCAGCCTGGCTCTGGCCCTCTCCTCCACTGCCTGAGGTCTCCTCAATGGGGGTACCACTTCTGCCCAATAAGGCTGGCTGAGCAGCCACAGCACACCCTCTAGCCTATGTCACTTGGTGCCCTGGGGCAGGCACAGTGCCTAGCTGAAGGGCCTGAGGTAGGAGGGAGGGCACCAGGGTTTTGGTCTGTAAAACAGTCCCCATCCTGGCCAGGCCAATCCAGATTCTGCTTAGCATCTTAGGGCCCGTTCTAAATATGCCCATAGCTCCTCCCTAATGGAGCTAGGGTCAAGCAGTCTGTTGGCGTGATAGCTTACCTGCCTCACAAGGTCCTGGACCCGGCGCAAATGGCCCTCAATGCAGGCTCGGTGCAGCAGGGTCTCCCCCATGTCATTGCGACGGTTCCACTGTGGGCAGAGTAGCCTTGACTTGGGGCAGAGGTGTGAGGGATGGGTACGGCTGCCAGGACAGGAGGGACTGGGGCACATGGTCCTTACCCTGTTCACCTTCCGCCGGCCTAGGCAACCCTGAAACTCCTCATCCTCCTCCAGCTGCGAGGCCAGGCTGTCAGCATCATCCTCTGGAAGAGTTGAGCCAACTGACTGAGCCTGTGAGAAGCCAGCAGTAGAAACATACCCCTGCCCTGCCCAGGCTCCTGTGACCTCTGAGGCAGCCGCAGCCATAAGCAGGAGAGCAGAATTCAGACCTGTGGGGCCAAACCTTGCTCCTAGGCTACCCCTCACCTGCCAAGGCCCCATTATTCCTCTGTCAACAGGGGATGCAGCCCTCCCTCAGTGGAACTGTCCACTCACCCCTGCCCCCAGGCTCTGCTCTACAGGGCAGTCTCCATCCAGACCTTCTGCCACCCTCTCAAATACCTTTGTTAGGCCGTGTACCCTGCCTGTTCTCACTTTCCACCCACTCCTGGTCCTGGTGATACTCAAAGACTCTCTTCTGTTCCTTCCCTGCTGCCACTGCTCTTTCTACACTATCTTCTGTTGCCTACCTGTTGAATGGTTCTCCCTTATGTTTCAGTCCTTGGTCACCTCTTCCCACACCGCTCACACACCAGCAATGTCCAACCTGACCTTCCTCTAAGACCTGGCCCAACTTCCCATGGCTGCTGGGTTACTCACTTGTGGTCCTAGAGGCCCCTGAAGTTTTCAAGTCAGTCTTTCCGATCTGCTCTAGTCAGTCCTTCACACCCACCCTCTGCACAGCTGACCACACCAGCCTCTGGAGGGTTCCAGGAATGCGCTTGGCTCTGGCATGAAGCAGCAAGGCCCTGAGATGCAGCCTACCTCACCCTGCCTAGATGTGCAACACAGGCCTCTACTGGACTATCTCCCCAGGCTCTGGCCCTGTAGAGCCTCCCTGTAGGCTTCCAGCCCTTTGTCCACCTCCACAAAAGCAAGGGCTGCCTGCCTGACTGCTGGTGAGTCCTGAGCAGGCTCTGTGTAGGCAAAGTACCAATCCAGGACCTAATCCAGAGCAAGAGTCAGGGACAAGGCCAGCTGCAGCCACACTGCCCTCACCACTCTCTGAGAGCTCTAGCTCACTGGCCTCTAGGGCCACGCTAGCTGCCGCCTCTTCCATCGCCTCCTCCTCCTCCTCCTCCACCAGTTCTTCAGCCGCGCTCAGCTCTTGCAGTCTGGTTTTGGTGCCAGGAGCTTCTTGGGGCTGTAGCCTCAGCTGCACAGTGAGGAGGTGCTGCAACACCTGCTTCTGAGGAGAAAGGGGGCATGAGATAAGAGGGACAGGCAAGTTGGGCTTGCTGGGGACCCAGTAAAGGTGGGGCAGGCTCAGGTACCTGCAACTGGGGCCGCTGGGCCTGCTGGGCACAGTTAAGAGCCTTCTGGAAGCATGGAGCCAGAAGCTCATATGCATCACCAGCCTCCTCGCGGGAGAGTGCAATGTTGAACCAGGTATTGGCCTCCTGGAGTGGAGGAAGAATGAGCTGATGGCTGCTGCCCACGACATCCATAGGCTGGCTTCCCCAGGTGCCTACACACAACAGGAATATCTGCCTGGGTTCTACCCCATCTCCAAAAAATGGAGCTCAACGATTCTCAGAAGGAAGTCCTGTCCAGAGAGGCACCCGTCTATGCGCACTGGAGAATGGTGGTCCTAAGGCAGAGTCCGGAGGACAAACCTACACTGAGGAGGGAACAGGGCACATCACCTCCAGAGCATTGCCATTGCGCAGCCTGAGTTCTTCTTCATAGTGGTATACTGCCTGGCGATAGTCCTTCATGTCTGCCCGTGTGGCGGCCAGGGACACGTGGATGGTGGCCAGCTCGAGGTCTGGTCTATTCAGCCGCTCAGCAAAGTGCAGCTGGAGAGAGGCACAGTAAGCCCCAGGTCCACTCTGTACCTTGCTGGCTCTTTTCTCCCACCCCACAGGGGCCACACACCTGGTTCTGATAAGCCTCAATAGCCTTGGGGAAGTCAGCCGCCTTAGAGAACAGGTCCCCCAGCTGCTCACAGATGGCCATGGCACCCTGAGGGTCACTGCTCTCAGACTCCTCCAGCTGCTGTTGCAGCCTGATCACTGCTAGCACTGCCAGAAAGAGTCTCATGCAAGGGGGCAGCATAGCATTCGACACTGACCCCAGTCCCACCGCCGGCCAGCAGATAAGAGAGGGTAGAAGAATCTACCATGTGGGTCCCTCAAAATCAGAACAAATAAGCTTACAGTCTGTAGTAGTGCCTGGCTTGCGGCAAGGGCTCATCATTGTCAATCAGCACTGACCATCACTATGATCAGTATAGAGTCACACACATGTCACCTGTCAGCTTGTCAGTGAAGATACTGCCTTGTGAATAAAGGCTTGGCCAGTCCCCCAACCACCCTTCAATGCCCTTTGACATGTTGTGCTACAGGCTCAGACGAAAATGAGGGTTTGTCTGAGTCAACAGGGACCTATTCCTCTTGCTGGGAGAGGCCCAGATAAAGTTGACACATACTTGGGCCTCCTCTGCTGGAGGAGCAGAGCCCTCCCAACTCTTTTGGGGTTCACCCTCAGGCCCTGTCCAGCCTTACCATACTTGAGGCTCTGGCAGATAGCTGCCCTCTGTACAGGTTTCTGGGAACCCAGCCTGTAGGCCTTCTTCAGGGCACGTTTGGCAGCTAAAAAATCCCCCAGATCTTGGAGGACCTATGGAGAAAAAGAAAGTGAGGTGCTGACTCCCTAGGGACCAAGCCCATCCAGAGGGGGCTGAGCCTAGAGGGCAGCACCTGGGAGACCATCACACAGCACTCGCTCTCCATGAACCGCTTCTTCATGGCACGTGCACATTCCCGGGCCCCCTCCAAGCAGCGCATGGCCTGAGAGTGCTTCCCTTCCCGACAGTAGATGGCACCCAGGTTATAGCGGGCACGGAACAGGTCCTCATACAGGTGGTTCTGCCTGCAGAGGGCGAGGTAACAAGTGCTCAAAGTGCCCAGGACCCTCCCCTGATCTACAACAGTGGACAGAGGACAGCAAAGTACTTAAGATACCCCTGAGGTGCAAAGATTACCGAGCTAGTTATGGTTACTGACGCCACAGGGATTACAGCTCTGCCATGCTGTGAGCTTGGGACCTGAACCTACTCCTCCCCAACTCTCCGCACAGATGACAGGCTTCTCTGCTCATGGAAGAGCAATAGCCTGACCAGACTGCCCTCTCTGGAAGATCTTGGGGCCCTGCTCCCTCCTGGGGTGGGGATAGAGCCTCACTCAGCGAGAAAGATGCTTTTCTTGAAGTAGTCATTGCACAGGGCTGTCTGCTGCAGGCTCTCAAAAGTGAGACCCAGGTTGAGGTAGAGTCGAGTCCTCATCTCACTCAGCTCTCGCTGGGACAGGGTCCCTGGAAGATGACCCCCCCCAGATACTGAGCTGCTTCCTCCCCCACATGCCCCCCCACACCAACTGTGGGAACAAAGGTCTTGCTACAGGCAAAGCATAAAGGGAACAAAAACCAGATGCCTGCCAGAATCTAGATTGCAGGCAGCAAAGGCCCTATAGACTGTCATGCAGGAGTTTTGGAAAAGGGACCTGGGTGGTGTGTCACGGGAGTTAGGTGAGGGCACCCACCCTCCAGCTTCTCATCTATAATAGCCAAGCTCTTCTCAAAGGCAGCCTGTGCCTGTAGCAAGTCATCCCTCGACTGGCAGTGGTCATAGATGTCCAGGTGGGTGCGGCCAATGGTGGCCCATGCCCTCTGCAGCTCTGTGTGATTGGACAGGGAATCTGCCAGCTCCAGGTGACGGTGCTGGTGCTGGTGGAGGGAAAAAGCAGCTGAGCTGATTTCACCTTAAGCAAACCCATAAGTCCCAACCCCAGGGGAAGCCACTCTCACCCAGGAGAGCCTCTGTTCTCCAAAAGCCCTGCAGTGCCATCCACACATGCCTCATCTACTTAGCGCCAGAGGCTGTCTGTGGTAATAGCTGCTCATAACATAGATGACTTGGAAGTTGGCTGGGGTGTTGCCACCACCTCCAGCAACAGTCGGTCCCGCTCCCTCTTCCCAAAAAACTGGGCAGAAGTAATAGTTCCTTAACAGTTTCTGTTGCCAGGAATTCACTACTGCCTGGTCCCAGGGAAGGCCGCGGTGCGCTGACCCCTGAACCAGGCTGCGTCCCTGGCAGGCCCAGAATGTGTGGCTGCCTACCAGTCCCTCTACTCTGAAACTCCCAAGTGGGGCCTCCTTCCTCAGAAAGCAGCCCCATGAGCGCAGGCCGCCGCGCTGGGTGCGCACCTGTAGGGCAGCGGAGTAGTCCTCCATCTCAGCCAAGCGCTCTCCGATCTTGCGGTGGGCCACCGCACAGCCTAGGGTGTCCAGGGCGCTCTCCAGGAGCCGCAGCTCCTGCTGGTGCTCCTCCAGGGCTTCAGCATAGCGGCCTGCATAAGGGCATGGCGCGGGTCACAGGGCCAGGCGGGTTACTGGCGCTTTGGTGGCCGCGGGGAAGAGCAGAGTTCCCAGCCGCCTGCCCGCGCGTGCGCTCACCATGGCTGGCCAGCAGCTCCCCCAGCTGATGGCAGAAGGCCGCCTCCTCGTGCAGCTGCCCGTTCTTCTGGGCCCTGGCCTTGGCCTTGCTCAGCTCTACCGGGAGGAAGAAGGGCGGGGAGGTGAGTGGAGACCAACTCCCCGCCCCGCGCTCCCGTACTTGGGCCCCAAGAGACTCACGGCGAAGTTCACGGTCTAGGTTCATGCTCCCGCCGCAGCCGCCGCAGCCGCCGCGATCCGGAGTTCGCGCGCTGCGCCGAGGTTCCGCCCAGGCCCCGCCCCTTCCGCCCAGCGCCCCAGCCCCGCCCAAGGCCCTACTCCTGACGTCCACCACGCGGGTCTCTCCTAGGCCCCGCCCCTCCTCGCGGCGCGCGCGGGCGCAGAGCGTCCTGGGAGGTGTAGTCTGCCTGCCTCAGGCACCCTGAGCTTTATGGCCAGATCAGCATCCAGCGTTGGTCACCAGGCACGGGGCCGGGCGGAGGGGCGTCCTTGCTCACAGCACCTTGGGGCTGCGGCTCCTGCTTTCATCCAGGTGTTCTATTGCACCGTCGCTGCGTCCTCCTGAAATCAAAACGCACCACCTCACACTTGGATTAAAAAGGGACGCAGTGCCCTAACGTAAGAAGAAACAAAAGTGACTTGTAGTAAAATACACTTTGGGTAATTGGGCATGTGAAGTCAGTCAGGGGGACAGATGCCCCAGGGAACAACCTGCATTCAGGAGACACAGCCAGTCATATTAAAGGATCCCAGGGATGTTTGGGGGAGGAAAAAAAGAAGGAACCGTGTTTTCCTAAATGAACTAAGTACTGTTTCCTAGATGTATATGCAGGTTTTATTACTAGAAGATTCAGTGAAGGCACATTAATAAAACTGCGAAGCCACTTTGTGTTGAGAGATAAAAGGGTGTTAGGGTCTAGGCTTGGAGCATTTTAACAGATTTCCCACCTGTAGGAAGGCCTAACACGTCTGGAATCCCATGTCTTGGGGCACCCTGTCCCTCATTACCTTGAACACCAAATATCTGCCATGTCTTGGGGTTCTCACTCCTGGCTACACTGTAAGAAGAGTATTGGACACCTGGTGCTTGGGCTGTGTCCTGAGGCCCCAGAGGAGGTCCAGAAGAAGTGGGAGATAGATGGGTTTATTTTTTTTATCATAATCAAAACAGATCCAGGACTGGGTTGTGGCTCAGCGGTAGAGTGCTCACCTAGCCCGAGAGGTTCAATCCTCAGCACCACATAAAAATAAAATAAAGGTATTGTGTCCAACAACAACTAAAAAAAAAAAAAAAAAAAAAAAACAGATCCAATGAGGTAAAACTCAACTCACTGGCAGTGGATGGACAGCAAGGCCTACTGCGGAGAGGGCATTGTGGAGGGCAGATGGGTCCAGTAAGGGCTGCCAGATGGTAAAACAGCACTGGTCTCTAGTTGTGGGCTGGGCCTAGGCTGTTCTGGGCTTTGCTGTCTCCACAGCTGCGGGTGTAAGGTGAGAGTAAGCCTATAGAACTGAGCAGGGGGAGAAGAGACATTGGATGTAGGAGGGTGAAGTGCCCGACCAGGCCCCCACCTAGACCCAGGGGTGTTGGGAACAATAAGGTCCACACTGTCAGTCCCTTCTACACCCAAATCGTGGCTCTGAAACTGAGGCAGCTACTTGGACAGGCTGGTGAGGTGTGTGAGGAGCATAATGAGGGACGAGGGGTGGGGTGAGGATCAAGGTGTGTGGAAGTAGAGGCTGGCTGAAGACAGGGTGGCTCAGAAGACACAGGGACGCCCTAGAGCAGCTGGGAAGACCATGAACTGCCTTCCTTCCAGCCCTCGGATTCATAGGACAGCATAGTTCCTAGGGGCCCAATTCCCTTCAGAGATGACTGTCTTCTCCATGCTGTTCTCCAGGTGAGCAGGCAGGAGGTGCTGCACAGGGCTGGAGGTCTGGGGCAGGGCACGGGCTGGGGCGGCGGGGAGGCTGTCTTCTGGTAAGGACACACAGACAAAACATAGTTTGGAAGATTTTTTTAAACTACAATTACATACAGAAAATATCCAAAGAAAATGCAGACCACAAAAGTGACATGTAAGTCATTTCTGACAGCCATAAAAGCACTTCTTGCTCTGATGTTTAAAAATTTATTTTTATTGTTTTTGTAAATGTCTCACTTTGGGCAAACTGAGGGATGTGGTGCTCACAGAGAGTGGGAGTGAGATGAGGGGTGCAGAGGCCTGGCTGGGCCTATACCCCCACAAGCCTCCCAACATCTGCAGAGACTAATCAGCCCCATCCTCACAGGTGACAGAAAAGGGACCAGGCTGAGACAGCAAGAGGACACAGGCCAGTAGATGTGCCTTCAGTAATAAAGGGTTCATGGTGACAATGGTGCAAGGTTTGTGGTGCCAGTGCCCAGTGTGGCCCAGAGACACGCCAGTCTCCTCCACTGCCCAGTTCCCCTAGGTTGCTAGGCTCAGCTGCTGCATGTGACAGTCATAGGGCAGGGGCCATGCTGGGGACAGTGCTGCAAGGCCTAAGCAGTCCTCCTGGGCATCACCAGACACAGCACACCCCTACCCCTTGTCTGGACACTGCCCTTGTCCCCACATCTGTCTTGGGCTGACCCTGTTGTCGACCCTGTGGGCTCCAGCACTGAGGAAAGGCTGTAGGCCGGGCAGCCCTGGGCCTCCTCCCTCCTGGTGGCTTCCCAGACCCCACAGCCACACACATACATACAGATCTGTCACCTCCAAGCCCTGCCAGCCCAGGTGTGCCCTTCCTTGCCCCAGCACAGCGGTGGCCTTGGAGAACAGACCTTGCACTCTGTCCCACCCCAGGTAACCACCACATCACCCTCTGCTGGATCAGTCTCACAGATACCAGCAAAGGACAGCTCTGCACTGTCCCCCACACCGTCACCTTGGCATCCAGAGGGGCTCCCTGAAGGGCCTCTGTTCTCCACAGGCCTCTGTGCCTGTCAGTGGGTGTGGGACAGGGCTGCCCCATAAGGGCAGAGGAGTCATCTGGCTGTACCTGAGTCAGAGGCCACCGCTCCTATAGATGTGCTGGGTTTTGGGGTTGGGTCTTTCTTTGCAGAATGCAGAAAGCCAAACATGGGTCTTCCCAACTATCCAGGCCACATCAGCTTTGCAGGAGAGATGGTTCCCCAGAGAGGAGTTCCCTGTAAGCTCTGTGCCCTGAGCTGGGGACAGGAGCCCAAATGGATCTTTGAAAACAGCTCTGAGAAACTTTCTGTCTGTGAGGAGACAGGAGAGCCATCCTTGAGGAGAAAACTGTTTCAGGCAGCCACCCTGGCCTCTGTGCTAAGCCATGCTCAGGAATATGGTTAGGGCTTGTGCTCTATGCCACAGCTCCTTCTCTCCATTTCTCAGCCCCCTGGGGGTGGGGTGGGAGGAGCCTCAGGGGTCAGTTGGCCTAAACTCTGCACCCATGTGGACAGGGCTATCTAGTCCTTCAACTCCGTGGGGCACAGGCAGCCTGCAGGGAGGGTGAGGGCTGCTCCCAGGTGTGTGGTGGCCTGGTCAGGGCAGAGGAAACCCAGTTCTTTGGTATTAAAGCAAAAAAAGCTATCACAAAAGAGCCCCATCTCCTAAACAAAAGTTGAGGGAAGCAAATTCTACCTTCCCAGTAGCTCTGCGGGTCCCAGGGGAATAAAGCATTAGGGTCTTCTCCTCCAAGCAGGGCTGCTTCCCACTCCCCAGTCCTGCTCATAGCTCACACTCTGTAGGTGAGAAGCCATGCTGCCCAACCTTGGCCCTTGCAGTGGCTCTCTGAACAAAGGCCCAGCAGCCAGTCCCTGAGAGCAGGTTGGATTGGTGGCCCTCTCTGACCTCACCCAGCCAGGCTCACAGCCAGTGGCCTGCCTCCTTTGCAGCCTGAAGACACTGGGCCCCAAGGCTAAAAGGAAGTGAATGAGCTCTCTCTCACTAAAACGGCATCACTTTTAGAAGAGCCTGTAAAGAGTTTAATTTTTTTCCTGGGAAGAGACAGAATTTCACCCTGCATTCCGAAAACATCTGCTGAGCCCTGGTGGCTGAGTCTTGCCTCCCTGAAGTAGCCGGGTAGCTGGGGGGGGCGTCCCGACCCTTCATGGCTGTCCCTGTCTAGGCCTCAGTCCAGAGACCTGTGACAGACTGTGGGAGAAGCAATGTCTCCAAGTCTCTCTTGGGGGCACACACAGGTGCCATAACAGTAACCCCCAAGCCATACCAGAGCTCCCACGCCGTCCATTCACAGCCACTCCTTCCCCTCCAACAAAACAGAAAGTAGGAAACAAGGCTGCCTTTTAATTGCAATCAAATATGCCGTCTGAAGTCAGCGAGGGCCCCTGAGCCCGGCCCGGGACCAGAGCAGGCAGTGCTGCCTCACTGTGAGGATGGGTGCAGGGGCAGGGCCGCTGGTTCTTGCCCTCCTCACCACCCATCCCTGAGCCTGGGCAGCCCAAAGCACTGTCTCCTCTGCGGTCAGCCCAGCCTCCAGCCACCCTCAGGAGGGGGAGGCCGGGAAGAGGGGGAGCTGGAGGCAGGGACCCTGTGGCACACGCATGCAGACTTTCCCAGTGTTTGGTTTTGTCTGTTCTCCTCTTTTGCTAAAATGATCAGATGGTCATGTGAAGCCGCTGCCAAGCCAGGGGTGGATGGGATGGCGGCGCCGGCCTTGGCCCTCAGCTCCTTGGGCATCCTGAGCCCATCCTACTTCTGTATCTGGAAGAGGAAGAGCCGCAGGTTGATGTTCTTGGCAGCCAGCAGCTTGTTGCACTCCACAGAGTCGATGATGGGCAGAGGCACATAGTCCGTCTCATTGCTCTCGTTGGTGAAGACAAAGTGGTAGATGACAGGACTGATCCGCACATCATCATACGGGCCCTTGAGCAGCAGGAAGGAGCACTCCAGGGGTGCTGTGACCTTGCTCTTGAGGAGGAGCTGGAAGGAAAGTGTGCGCTTGCAAGACAGGTTGGGGTTGCGCTCTGAGTCATTCACACGAGCCTTCAGGACCCATGTCTGGTTCAGCACTGTGAACCGCGGTGTTTCATAGTACAGGCGTGTGATGAAGTCATCCGTGCGGTATGGTCGGAACTGGACTTCTGTGGAGACAGACAGGGCCAGAAACAGCCAGCCGTTAGTGTTGGGCAGAGCTGGGTGGTGGCGCCTTCTCTGACCAGGCTGAGGACAGGCTCAGCCAGGGAGAAAGGCAACTTACCCGGACCTAGTGAGCTCTACTTGTCACAAGGCAAGTCAAATGCAAGTATTGCACA